AATCGCTCTTGTCCCATAGTTAGAATGCCAGACAAATTTTGAGAGGTAAGTGAATTTGTCTACTTTTTGCATGTTGTTAGTCTATATTCTTTGGTGCATTATTTAATTAAATAAAAATTATTAAGTGCATTACTATCTATAGTATAAAAAATTAGGGTTAGCTCTCTTCGAAACCCTAGAGCAAGAAAATTGGGTAAGGTTTAGATTTTAGTTACTTTTATAATAATAAATAAAGAATAAATATGAAAAACAAGAAATAAAATAAATATGAATCTTTTTAAGTTATTTAAGACTAGATTAGGTAAAATAAGTAATAATAATAATATAATTAAAATGGATCATGAGGCCCGCATGCGAAAATCTCGTGGGTAATCTAATCTGATAGCTTAACGTGACCTATACATTCTCCAAGTGATTTACAACTTATAATGGTGCGGACAGTAGTTAGAAATGGTTCAAAGGGCAATAAATGAATAAAATTTAATTATAAATAGATGTATACTGTTACAAACTTAGAGCTTACAATTTGAAGTCATTTTAGAAAGAAAAAAAGGGTAATTTAGGTTTATTTCAGTTTTATTTTGGTGTTTACCAATCCCATTTTGAGACAAGGTAGAAAAAATAAAAAGATAAACTATAAAGTTTTACTGAAAAAAGTTTGAAATGCATTTAGAATGTTTTAAGGATTACAGAAAGGAAATCTGAGATGAGGAAAATACTTTTAATTTGAACATGAAAATTACTTTGCACACAGACTATTCAAAACAAAAAATCCTTTGTTAAAAAAAATACAATTTTTTGTATTAGAAACACTTATAATATTAACTGAAAGACTGCCAAATTTTTTGAAGATATACACACTGTATTGAAAGTTAGAAGTAATAAAACTATAAAGACTTTAAACAAGTACAAAGAGTTCACATGGTCAATCAAACTGACTGAGCCCATATTGAAAGAGTTAAAGGATGTCTGGTGTGCAGTACAGAACAGCATATGACAACTGAAATTGAGTGAAATCTTTTGTGTGTTTTTTTATACAAGTTTTTAATCAGTAATCAAATAAAGTTAATCAAGCTACAAATATTTTGTATTTCTGTCTTAACAGCTAAAAATAAAAGAAGCATGGCTAGGTTTGAACCGGCCAACTTATGATTTAAACGCACATCAGATCCTACACACAAAAACCCCAAATATCAGACAACACCTGAACTTTTGCAACCAAAATTAATTACTGAGCAATAATTTCTCCAAAATATGTAAATTATTATCTAGAATTGTAATGACACAATTATTTTGAGAAAATTTAGGTAAAAGAAAAAACCATGGATAATTGAGGATCGCAAGTAATGGAGATGCAGTTAATTGAGGCACTAGTGTAGCCCCATTTCCAGTACAAACAGTAGTGAAGTTAGGTCAAACACACCTGGGTCCTAGATCTGAGAATAATTGTCGAGACCTGGTATAGGAGTTCAAAGTATTTTTCTCATAGCAATAATAAGCCATACAGTAGGAGATTCCATTAAGAGATGGCTGCCACAAAGGTGTTCCTTGCTTGGCAGCTAGGTAAAGTCCGACCAGCATGTAGTAACACAGCATTGGTGCACCTAACCTATGATACTTATATGAGCAACAACAAGTGCAGAGAGTTGTGCTGTACTGTCAATTCCAACTATTGAGCTATGTTTCTCAGCCTGTGTTGCAGCTAGTGGTCCCCAGAGCTTTCAGGCATGAGATTTTTCCAGATTTTGCATAATACAAAACTGGATTGAGTGTAGCTTTTGCACATGCCAATGGCAGGGAAGCACTTCCATTATATATGGACAAGTCCTTATCTTTTGCTCCAATGAGTCAGTCCATTGACCATATGAGTTATGGCTGTCAATAGGAGTATTTGATTTTTATAAAAAGGCAATCTCAAGTACTTTCAAGCAAATGTATAAATCATGGACTTAACAGAAGTTACATGTGCTAATTTTTACAAAGTTAAAAATTTACAGTTTTAACTTATTTTTAAATCACAATCAGAGGCTGCTTTAATCTGTATGCCAAAAAGTTAGCACTGGGAATCATTATAGTAATCACTAAACACAATGCACATATACGGGTAATTCAAAAAACAAACAACATGATTCATACCGAGATATTAAATATTACATTTAATGTAGTACAAAGCCCATAAATTAAAATAACATGATTCATACTGAGATATTAAATATTACATTTAATGTAGTACAAAGCCCATAAATTAAAATAACAACACGATTCATACCGAGATATTAAATATTACATTTAATGTAGTACAAAGCCCATAAATTAAAATAACAACACAATTCATACTGAGATATTAAATATTACATTTAATGTAGTACAAAGCCCATAAATTAAAATAACATGATTCATACTGAGATATTAAATATTACATTTAATGTAGTACAAAGCCCATAAAATAAAACAACATGATTCATACCGAGATATTAAATATTACATTTAATGTAGTACAAAGCCCATAAAATAAACCAACACGATTCATACCGAGATATTAAATAAAACATTTAAAAAGCCCATAAATTAAAACAACACGATTCATACCGAGATATTAAATAAAACATTTAAAAAGCCCATAAATTAAAACAACACGATTCATACCGAGATATTAAATAAAACATTTAAAAAGCCCATAAATTAAAACAACATGATTCATACCGAAATATTAAATATTACAATTAATGTAGTACAAAGCCCATAAATTAAAATAACACGATTCATACCGAGATATTAAATATTACATTTAATGTAGTACAAAGCCCATAAATTAAAACAACATGATTCATACTGAGATATTAAAT